TACATAGACGTTTTGTGCTGTATACTGTATTTTGTGAGAATGTAGAAAAATCTAAGCCGAATACTTCTGCAAGGCACTGTTTGGAAAGAAACAACCAACAAAATTCTTTAATTTATTATACAGCTGGATTTATGTCTTTCATTTTCCCAGATGAAGGCAGTGAGAATAATCCAACTGTTGGCTCTGCAGCTGATTGTCTCGCATACTTGATGATTCTGAATGCTGTGCAGTGCGCAGTGAATCATGTCGGTTCTTTCTTAAAGTTGGAAGTGCTTCCCTTGGTCTCCCAGATCTGAATGGTGCTTTGCTTCCAAAGTTTTGTTCTATTCATCAAACAGTTCCTGGAAAGCTCAAATGGTGTATTCAAAAACTGTGTTTAGCAAATACTTCATAACCGTTTACAGAGTTATTGAGGAAAAATAAGGTTTCTGAACCAACAATTCTACCAACTGTGAGTAGGTAAAAACATGTTCACTTAAACTAGATGAGGATCACCTTTGTAAAACAGCACTGATAGTGCAGCAGCATAATTGTGTGGGAGATTTGAACGTATCTTTCAAATTGAATGAATTTCACAATAAAGATTTTGCAAAGACAGTCAAATTTAAAGGCTTCTTTAAATTCATGTGACCCAAACCACTACAGGAGATTCTACCTCCCCGCAGCCATCACCACCTACAAAAGTAGTTTACCTGCACCTTTGGGATCAATAAAGTATTTTTGAATTTGAATTTCATTCAATTTAATTTATTTACACTGGATTTAATTCAGTAATGTCACACTAAAGAAAGCTGCATACTAAATACATGCCATGTTTTTCCAGATTTTTTTCGTTTGTAAAAACAGTTGAAATAATGCATCCTTTTCATTCCATTTCATGGTAATGATCTGCCTTATGTTTGTGCAGCACATTAAGTCACATTAATATGTGAAAAACAAAAAAACAAAAAACAAATTCAACACCTTTTCAAGGAACTGTGTGTTGCATAGAAATTACTTTTGGACGTGACAAGGTGAAACAAATCTAGAAGATGTTAATTACTTAAATCATGTTGAAAACACTTCAGGTTGGAAATATTTTAGAATATTTTTAGAATGATACTTTTCCGTTCCTCACTCATTTTTCTTCATCGATGAGCAATCTTTCCTCCTCAAAATTTTTAAATGGGTGTTGACTTTTCTAAGAACCAACTTAGGGCAGCAAGACATGATGTTTTGGTTCATCAAAGATAGGTTACAGAAGACTGAACAATCCTTCTACCTCAATTTGAGTTGAAGTAATCAAAACTATCCTAAAGGAGGGAAGCTTAATCTCATCTAATGCCAAAAAATATGAAAAAAAATGTCTCTCCATTCTTACAGTGTAGGTAATATCAGGATGTAAATATTTGATTTTCTCTGTCTATTTCTGTGTAGAATATAAAATCTGTAAACCCTCTGGCAGCTGCAATACACAGTTTTTGACCTTAGTGCAGTCAAATTCTGCAACTTAAGGTCGAACGCTTACAAAGCTCCCATGGCTTTGACGTCAATCACGCTAAAAGTACTTGTTCTGAAGTTTGTTGTCGCCCACAGACGAGCAGGCACAGACACAAAAGCAGGTTCATGGTTGAATGCTTTTCAAGGTGTCTCTAAGGCCCCCAAAGGCAAAACCCCTATTAGTTTGGATCTGGAGTCATATCAACACACCATGTGATGTTTCCTGCAGATTTATTCTTAAACTCCCCTGTTCATAAAGAATGTGCAAACCAGGCCCTGGATTTGGCAGGAGCGATCGCGCATGCATGTGTGTGTCCCGTGCAGTCATGTCAACAGAGCAATCATTCATGTGGAGCAAAGTATACACTTGGAGGGCTTAGCTCTGCCGGCATGTGATGATGGACAAGCCTTTCAGGGAATAAGTGAGCGATGGAGAGAAGGAGGGGTTGGGAGCTGGGGGATGGATAGATGGAAAAGAGGGAGCTAAACACAAAAACCAGGAAATCCCTTTCTGTAATTGCATTTACAAATGTAGGTTGCAGATAAGAAAGCAAAAAAAAAAAAAAGTTACATAAAGAAAGATAAGCTTAGCTGAATATCTGCTCTGTTGTCAAGGCGAGCTGGGCAGAAAGCCATAGCTAACACTCCACTAGTCCAGAAGGGAATAAACTTCCTAATTGCCGCCACTTTTATGCTTCCCCCATCTTTCCAACCCCCTTTCTGTCGGCTTTAAGGACAGGTACCGGAAACACTTATTCATTAACAACCTTGAGCTTGTTAGCCTCAGTGAAGCACTCTTCAGAGTGGGAGGGGAGTTTAAGAGTGTGTGTATGAGTGTGCAGATGTGTTTGTGAGGAAACAAGAGGTAAGGGGGGGTTAAAGGGTAAGGCAGGGCCATTTAGAGGGGGGTGTCTTGGTTTGGTGACCTGGGGTCCTCGAACAGATGAGGGGAGTTCTGGTGAAAGAAATCTTAACAACATTGCAACTCAATGAACCATGTCCCTTAGAAGCAAGCTTTGGGTGGGCACATTCATTTTTAGGATGTCTTGCACTTTTAGAAAAATATGTGTTCTGGTAAAGCATTACTACTCTGTTAAAGCACTTTCACATTTTGTCCAGTCTTTTTGTTAAAAGCACCAACTTCAAAATGTCGAGATTTTATGTAGCAGACCAACACAAAATTAGCTGCCAAGCAAAACACTACATGATCACATCAGCCTGAAGTCACTATTGCAATGGAAAATCATGGAGGTGGCGTCATCATGCTGTGGGGAGGTTTTCTTCTGCAGACGCAAGGAAGTTAGGAAGTTGGCCAAAGTAAATGGAATGCAATTAAATACAGGAAAATTCCTGAAGAAAACCTATTAGAGATTGCAGGAAAAACTTGGGGCTGTGGTTGAGGTTCGCCTTCAAACAGGACAACCCTCAGCATACACCCAGACAGACAAGGGAGTGGTTCAGTCAAAGTCCAGACCTAAATCCAACTGAGAAGCTGTGGAAAGACTAGAGCACTGATGTCTCTGCAGGCTCTCAGCCCCATCTGACTGAGCTTAAGCTATTTTGCAGGAAGATGATGGGTAAACAATTCCATCTCTAAAGCTGGTAGAGGTATATCCTGAAAGACCTGCAGCTGTAATTGCAACAAAAGGTGGCTCTACAAAGTACTGACTTATGAGGCTGACAACAAATTCATGGCACATGAAGCATTTTAGCATCCACTTTACAAACATGCACTACTTTAAGTTGGTATATCTAAATCCCAATGAAATACAATAGAGTTTGTGATATGGTACCAACATGACAAAATATGAGAAACTTCAGAGATTAGGAATACTTTGGAAAGGCTCTATAGATACTAGGGGTGGAGGAAGCAGCATGTAAACATCCTTCTGGTCTGTATTATTCACAGCTGTCTGTATTTGTATCCTGACTGCTGCATGACAAACTCCGCATTAGTCTTCTACCTTAGCTCCGCGCTCTCATGAAACCACAGCATAAAAAAGTCAAGTCTTGTTAGAGAAGATCAAAACATGATGCACAACATCCGAGCGCTGAGGTCTGCAAACATGTGCGGTCGTTTCCAAGACAGCAAGCAGAATTTGGTGCTTTTATTGGCTTTAAAAGATAATTACATGCCTACTGCCTTCCTCTTACAGCTGATCCAGGGTCAGCAATTTTCCCCATGCAAGCAAGTTTCAAAATCTATTGCATATTTTTTGTCTTGATCGTGACACTTTGTTGAAATTCAGCTAAGGCTTCCTTCCCAAAACCTCTTCTTTGCCACCCATGCAGCTGACAAAGCCCTCCTTGCTCCACCATCAGCGCAGTGAGCTCAGGACCACATGCCCTTTTTCATTACTCTGAACAGGCCAGCTGTATTGTAACTACAACCAATTTCCTTGCAGTCTATAAAGCTGTCAATCAAAATCATACAGAACAGGGAGTGGAGGAGGGAGCTGCAGGGGTGGAGCTGGGTGGGCTTTGAGGGAGGGCTGTGGGGGCAGGAGACCAGATGTCAAGAAAGAGGATAGAGGTAGTAAGCAGGGGTCAGAAGGGGGTGTTCATGAATCAACAGTAAGACCAAAGCTTTCTTTTTAAATTTCCATTTATTAAAGTTATGAACAAAAGAGACAAATAAGTTATATTTTCATTTGTTAGAATTCTATCAGTGTTTGAACATTAATATTTAGAGAGCTAGTACAAAATTCCTACTTTCATGGCTAGCTTCTGATAAACCCATAGAAACAGCTGTCTCTCTCCAAGGATCGGAACATAATACTGAAGGGGAGGCGGCCATGTTGTCTCACACAACAGTTAGCAATGAAAGTGTGCACCTTAAGGCTTTTTCTCTCTTTTTTTTCTTTCTTTCTTATGGTATATCATTACATATAAACTCTTTAGAAATATACTTCTGTCAAATACCTTGACAACTACTATGTACACTACAAAAATAAATTTTCATATAAATAAATTATATGGCATACATTTATCTTTGTAACTGAAAACAGCATAAATCCACGCCAACAGTGACCAAAAAAAAAGAATGGCAGTCTGAAAAAGTCTGATTTTTTTCCTTTTAAAATCCTCTAAGAGCTATGATGAGACCTGTTGTGTACAAAACAAAACGTTATATACTCTTCTCTTCCTATTTAACATTAGTAAGCACTTTATACAGATCAACTCCATTAATGTAAAAAACATTACTGTAATAGTGTTTTTTTCAATAGACATAAAATCCCTGCATTTTGTTATCCACTGGCATTTTAACAATAAAAATCGACATATTTTTATATTACAAAAATATAAATATAGAAATTGAACAAAGTACAAACAGAAAAATGAATAAAATAGTTGCCAGCTATGATTCTCTCCGCTGCTGCCAATGTGACAAATGGGAGGAAAAACAAAACAAAACAAAAAAAAAAACTAAAACAACAAAGAAAGTAACCCATTTCAGGCAAGCAGCTGATGTACAGTGGTTCTCAAATAGTACACACCCCATTAAAATGCCTATTTTTTGCGATGTAAAAAAGTGAGACTCTAATAAATTCTTTCAAAATGGTTTCCTTATTTAAAATTGCATAATATATTTGCAAGGGAACAAAAATTTTATTTAAATAAAAAAATATGAAAAATACAAAGCTGCACTGACTTGTTTGTAAAAATGTGAACATTCTTAAACTAATACTTTCTTAAAGCCGGTTTTAATTCAGTTTGTTTTCACATCTCACTTCCCTTAAATTACAGCGAATCTATTTACACAAAGTTACATTTTAGAGGTCCTTGAAGGATTGCCTGTTCATTTGCCAACTTTAGCGAAAGCCACAGTTTGCACAGGGGAGGTTAGATAATTCAAATGTTCTCAACATTAAAAGGTATCACTCAGGGGAAGGCTATAAACAATTCCCACAGCATTAAATATGCACCAGAGCACACTGCAGCAAAAAAGCTGGAGAAAATATGGCACAGCTGGGAATTTACAATAACTGCTCATTTCTCCAAAACTAATGAAAAGATGAGAGTGAAATTTTCTTTTTTTTTCTTTTATTGAGTCCACGCACATATTTGAATCAGTGACAGAATGATTTTATTTTATTATATAAGAGAAAAATTAAAGCACTGGAATTGCCTCATTATAGTTCAGAACTAAATCTGACAGAAAATCTGTGGGATCATCTGAAGGGGGAGAAATTTTCTGCTTATTGTGATAAATTTGGGGAACTTTTGTCAAGCAGAATGTACCACAATTGCCAGGTTGAGATGTGGGGACGGTTACAGACTCCTGCCAATGAAGACTAAGTACTAAAAATGAAGTATTGGTTTATACAACCAGGTTATTGGAGTGCCGTTTCCCTACATACAGATTAAATTCTTTATTAGCTGAAATGTCACATTGAATGAGGAAAAGGTTTTGAAACATTTATTATGACCAATATTTTTACATCAACAAACCAGATATTTTAACAGGGGTGTGTAGGGTTTTGAGAACCACAACAGCTCAGTGAACAGGAGAAAAAAAAAAACTATGAATGTTCGAGAATGAGTCGGAGTGTAAGAAAAGGTTGTTGTGGAAGGAGACCAAAGGGGCCCAAGAAGTGTACAGGTACGGCTGCTGGCACTGACACCAGCAGGCATAAACCGGCCATATCTGGTGAAGGTGGGGTACAAAAAAAAAAAAAACTGACCCGACTCTTCCTCTTCCACCTTCCACCCCCATAAGGCTCAGGCTTGTGCAATTTAGCAGCTGAGTGGAGACGTCCAATTAGTGTCATGGCCTTATGTTGTGGATTTTTAAGAGCTGAGGTCAGTGGGGACAGCTGTGGCCAAACTATGACCAGTTGTCTTTATTGTCATGAAATAAAGGGGGGCCTCAGATCCAGGCAGAGGACAGGAGTTGTGAAGAAAACCACTACACACACAAACACACACAGCAAAATATGAGGCCTTATTGGTCTTAGCCCTTCGAAGGCTGCATGGTCTAGCTTATTGGATGGACAGAAAGAGCTACTTCAAGCGAGATATATTCCTGTGAATGAAAAGCAGTCAAGTGCCATTTTGAGTCGGGTCATACAGTATTATAGTTTGAGCTTTAGCTTATCCACAAGACAAAGCCACTTTATAAGGTGCAGAGGTAGCACCTTGTTTTTTTGGCCCTGTTCCAGAATCAGTAACGTGAAGGTCCCTGTAAAAAAGGTAAGAGTTAATTTCTGAGGTGGGTTCTGAGGCTGCTCAGAACCTGTTTGAGCCTGCTAGAGTTGTTTAACATCACAAAACCTCTTACAGTAAAATACAACCAGCCTAACAGACAGTGATACAAAGCTGAGTGCAGAAACAGGTTTCAAGGCCGTAACTAAAATAAAAATAAGGCAAAAAAAAAAAAAAAAATCTTAAAATGTCTTCATACCAACTCATTTTAAATAGCACGCATAGCGTGTCGAGTTAAAACAGTAATTCTTTCATATCTACCACAGGTTTGTGATAAAAAATTAATAGTTTTACAAGCGTACCTTTATACAATAATAAAAACACACACAAACAGATATACCATAGCTTTGTTGGATGATTCTAACAGTTTCCCTCATGTTTTAAATGAGTGTAAATGTTAGTCTGAACTGAGGATGCATCTGGCGAAAGGAGCTGTTTCACATTACACGACCTGACACACACACACACACACACACACACACACACGCACACACACGCACGCACGCACACACGCACGCATGCATGCACATACACACATTCATATACCTTGACAGATCACTGGTTCTGTTTGAAGAGAGATTTGCATAGTGTTAAAAATGTACATTAGTATAAAAAAAATAAAGTTCTGAGCAGCAACTGTGAATGCTGACAGGCATGTTTGTCCTACATTGAGCTTCCTATTGGCACAGATCCACAGAGAAGTGAACAGTAATCAAAATACACACTGCATTCATGCACGCATACACACCTACAACATATACAGCCCCAGTCTATTAACAAGTAGGAGTTGTACAGCTCCTCAAAAAATTATACCTATTTGTTTATATTTACATATGTATACATCTTTTAAATATAGATAGAAATATCTAAAACAAGAGTCCACTGTGTTACAGTAACATTGAGCACCATTATGGCAACACTGGCAAGCTTTTACGCTACATGGGGTCAGAGGTGGGGTTGTGCCAAGCTGGTCAACTGCTTAGCAAGACAGGGGAGTCCATCTTTGGCCATAGTGCTTCTCTTCCCCAGATCTGGAAAAAAACAGTATATACATTAAGATGAATGGTCAGACGTTTTACATTCAGGCACTAAGTAAGTAATTTTATTGTTAGAGATGCACAGAGAGACAGGCTGGTGACTGTAATCAAGATGATTTTCATCTAGATCAGTTTCCAGCTGGTGATCGGCTGCTCAAAAACAAAAAAATTAGACCTTTTTTAGAATCAGTAATTTGAATCCCATATTAAAAACCCCTCTAAAACTATAACAAACAATTTCAACTGAAAAGATCATGTTGTTTTTATTTATTAAAAGTGCTTTTTGTGCTGAGTTTTAAATAAGAAAAAGCTCTAAAGAATTAATGTTAAAATGTGTTAATGGCCATGTTTCAGAGGTAATTAGTAAAAGTTTGATCTTAGAACAAGGAGATGTTTTCATTTGTACGGTATTTTATCAACATGCACCCTATCTATAGGTTAATCTTTTCTAAATTTAAAGCTCTACAGATTTGCATTGTTTTTGAACTCCCACTGTTGTATACTGGTTCACTCTATATTGTTTAGCACTTGTAAACCTTTTAAACTATTATTTAGAATTTTGATATAAATGTGTGCGTTCTTTTTAAATTTTAAGTCTTGCTCTTAAAAGATAAAAAGTTCTGAGTAATAGTTTTTTTTATTCCTTAGTTTTTAAAAAATGGAGCCTTTTAAGCCTTTACCAGGGACTGAATCAGAAAGTTAACATTCACCTAAAGGGCCAATGAACAAATTGTATTTCAGAATCTTGCCCAGTAAGTACTTTAATTTGATGATTCGCTGCATGCATTATACCTCTAAATCTTCTTCCTTCAGAAACAACTTCCACACTTAATAATTTTCTTGTTAGTTCAACTTAGTAGCACTAAGTCATGGAATTAAACTGATTCTGGTGACTTGTCGATTTCTCTGTGCCAATGCACAGAGAAATCGACACAAATCTGACTCCAACACCACATTGGACAGGTTTCAGGACGTCCTCCTGAAACCTGTCCACCTCCCACCCAAAAAAAAAGACAAAAAACATCCAGCTTTTCTTTTATAATAATAATAGGGCTATTATTGCATAAAACAATAATAGCCAGTATTATTGCTTTATGCATTGTCTGTGGTTAAGCCAGTTATGTGTATGAAACAAATCTACCTATGAATCTGCTAAAGGAACCAAACTCTCACCTCAGCTAGCCTGTTGGCCATGGTTCCTGTCAGCTGCCTCTAATTCCAAATCCTGAAGCTCCACAGATTCCACCTTAGCCTCCCTACCCCCTGTGTGGGTGTACAAAGGCACGTGGGGGTCTTGGAAAGCCGATTCTGACTCCTCTGGCCCCGATGGGCAGTAACTGTCTGTTCCCGTGTATTCTGGGAAGGAGGAAGCTGGACCTTGGGCGGAGAATGGCACAGGGTGAACGGCTACAGTGACCGAGGCCGATGCCGTTACTGTGGTGATGGGCTGACAAAAAGGAGCGTTGTTGGTGTGTTGGTGCGGGAGGTGGTGATGATGCTGTTGGTGATGATGAGGCTGCGAGTTGTGGGAAGAGTGGCCGCTGTGGCCTGCTGAGTGTTCTCTGTAGCTGCGAGAGCTGTGATGGCCCCCAGCCTCGGTTGCAGTTTCAAAAGCGTCCATGCGCGGTTGGGCCGGGGGCGAGGCCTGCCAGTGCTGCTGGCCCCTGGGGTCCCTGCTGCAGTTTCGCTGAGTATTGCCATGCTGGATACCAGAATCACAACCCTGAGAGGGAACAAACTGTAGAGAACCACAATAAGACACTCATTTAAATATGACACATGCAAAGAAAAATCCATCTGTGATAGTTCCCTACCGAAGACACAGTATAGGCTGGGGGGTCAGGCTGCTGTCTCGGTGAATGCCGTTGCCCTGACCCCGCTCTTCTTTCCTCCTCTGGCTGGGCCACTCTGCCCCTGCTGGTCCGGAAGTGGTGGTGCTGCTCCTCTGGTTGAGTTTGTCCTCTGTGAGGGTAAAGGTTGTAGTTCTGCACCTCTTGGCTTATTCCAGACACTGTGGCATTAGAGCTGTACTCCGAGTCTGACGAGTCTGTGGCTGCACCAGAGTTCGTGACGGGTCCAGAGGTTTGGCGTGGACGGACCGAGAAATGGACCACTCGAGGAGGGGCCTCTGGGCAGGGGGTGGGTAGCCGACTTCGGCCATCAGTGGGTGAAACCTGACCAATGAGAGAAAGGCAATCAATTTTTGGACACCTGTAAGTCACTTTCTATTGACAAAATCACAACTGTAATGTTCAATAAAGATTCTACTCTCAAGATCTCAGCGCAATGTTTTCACAATATTTCTCATAAATATTAAGTTTGTTCTGCAATGCATCATCCAATCAATGCTTGCATTTAACTTCATCTGGTAAGGTTAAAATTGTGATGTATGGTAATCTATCAGCATAACCTCCAACTAAGGAGGAGAATACAAACAAATTGGCTGAAAGCACTCAATCACATTAGAGAAAAAAGCCTTTGACACTTCAGAATACAGGAACCGACTAAACAACAAAGTTAAAATTGTCATGGTAATCGGATGTTGGCATGATATTGGAACAATTTAATGTTTTGGTATGCTAAGGACCAAGTAACTGACTTAGTGACGAAGTGGCCGCTCCTCTCGAAACTGCCACTCAATATTCTTCCCTGGAGTGAATTAAATTATATCCCTATTTTCTATTAATAAAAACACAATTGCCCTGGTTGATTAAGACTGCATTCAGGTTGAGGTTTCAGTTTTTTAAATTGTACCTCTGGATAAGGTCCAAAGTATGACAATAATACTGGGAGAAGGACCAATCCATTCAGCACTCCAAGAACTGTCAGGATGGCTAACACTGCAAAGAAATACCTGCAATAAAAAAAAAAACAAATATACGAAAAGGATTAAAAAGAGTAAATAAAACTGTCAACATATTGTAAATGCTGAAAAACAGCATTTACTATTTATTTGGCTGTTTAAAACATTTTCTAAAAATACAGTAAAATAAACAAGGAGCAAAGTGGATGACACTGCCAAAAAGCATGGGCATAGGGTTGCTAAGACTAACAAAGACAGACATGAGGAAACAAAGAAAATACCCCCAAAGACCACAGATGTTTACACGTGGAGAGAAATGCGCAGGTTCATTCACCACACATGCCCAAAATAATACTTCCACACTGACACCAGCCACTCCCCAAACAAAACACACATATACAAACCCCCCACAGATAGCTGATGCGTGCACTGTGGTTCTGAGGAGCAGAACAGAAAGGTACCTTGTGTGTGTCTAAGTCCTGCCAAAGAGGGTTAGTCTTAAAGAAGCCACAGAAATAAAAGAAAGGGGAAGCATAATTAGCAAGAGCTGGTTAATTCAAAGGCACAGGAATAAAAGGGGGGGAAAAAAGAAGAGGGGGAGGTGGGGCTATTGGGGTGAGGGCACTCTCTCTTGGGTGTGCAGTGTATAAGCAAACATGGGGAAAACAAAGCAGAGTGGAATGCGAACGGAGGGGGTAAAGGAGGTTGAAGAGGGAGGACATTGGGGTATAAAGTGAGGGGGGGTACAAAAGGACAGGGGCCTCTCTTTCCTCTGGTTTAAAAAAGAGAGAGGGGCAAACAAATGAAGTGAAGGGTATAGAATTTAAACAATTTAGTCTAGGGACGAAAAGAAGGAAAGCCCGAGAGCACCACCCTTCCCTGGCCTCTTTCCTCCCTCAATCTTTTTTATTTTTCTCTCCATCTTCTTCACTCCCTTCCTTCCAGCTAAGCTCCTGTGAAATTCCCGGCCACTGCGCAATCCCCTCCACCTAATTAAATCTGTATGTATCAGGTAAGACCCCACACTCTCTGCTCTGAATCTCGCCCTCGCTCAAATCAAGTCACCTACATGAGAAAGAGCTCTCCTTGCCACCAGCCATGTGAAGGGACAGTGTCAGGACACCCATATACACAGCAGCTAGCCTATCTGTGCAATTTGTGACTTTTGAGTGAGGCTGGATCACTTGAGGTTCTGACTTGTTTGTGCGCTATACAGATGATACTGTAGTGTTCTGCTACAGTAGTCTTTGTAGGTTAGACGGGGCTGCCGACTATTAAGTGAAGTCCTGCATTTAGTTAATCAGGACTATTTCAATAAAATTAGCATTGCATCGCTATCCAGTTAGGATATTTGCTCTACATTTATCATATGTGGTAGGGTTATATTCTGGATATATTTTAATCAATGGAGAAAGGAGCACTTGATGGCTGTTCATGTTTTTCATGTCTTGGCTGTATGCACTGCGTTGCCTTTTGTTATAAAAGTAATGTTACACATTTTTCATGTAGAAATCCCATACTTTTTCTGACTCCTTTTTCCAGATTTCTCAGTCATTTCAAATTATAAGAAACAAACATTCACTGTGAATTTAGGGTACATATTTACAAAAAAATTGTAAGGGAGGAAGAAAGGAGAGACAGATTTAAGGACACATGAAAGAAATGTATGTAGAACACAAGAAAGACACAAGGAAGATAGAGAGAAGACAAAAGGAGAAAACATAGGAAGAGTGGTCGATACATGGACTGCAGTACACTTAGAATGAAAGACAATAAGGAAAGTCATGAGGCCAGAGGGGCCTTGTGATGGACTGGCAACCTATCCAGGATGTAACCCAGCTGTTACCCGTATGAGATAGGCACCAGCCCTCCTAGGAGTCCTGCAAGGAGAAGCAGGTATAGAAAATGGATGGATGGATGAGGCAAGAAGGGAAGGTAGGAGGAAGGAAACAAGAAAAGAACGAATCACACAAGGAAGTAAAGATGAAAGAACACAAATAAGGAAAGAAGGATAGGAGGCAGGGTGCACACACAAGGAAGGAAGAAAGGGCCCAAGAATGTTAAAGAGGACATAAGAACGAACTGAAGGAAATACATAAGAAAGGAATGGAGTAAGGACTCAAGGAAATAAAGAAAGTTACCAGTATAACAGATAGGACACCACAAAGAAAGGAAGGCCAGAAGGACACAACGAATGGCGGTTTGACAGAAGGAAAGAGAGAAGAAAAAAACAGAGGGAAAAAGAAAAAAGGAGGTAGGAATGATAGAGACAATACAGAATGGAAGGACAGAGGAAAGGAAACATTTACACAGTAGAATAGGTAATGAAGTCCGACATTAAAATACTTTTCATACTAATGGAGGAAAGAACTCGGATCAGACTCCAGACTGTTCATGACAGCATCGGAACCACATTAAGCCGCTTAGCTTGAACATACTGTTTGCAAACCTTTAGCTTGAAGTTAATTGGGAAGGAAAGGTCCAAATGATTAAACATTTGATGTAATTTTTGGCTTATAAAAATGAATAACAGGCGATTCAATTGAATTGCATAAAAACAATAAATAAGCTGTGTCAAGGGACTTGCTACTATGATTTATTTTACTGAAACAGGAACCTGGATGGATTAGTTCATTCAAATTCTTGTCCAATTAGTTAACTTATGAGTGTCCCGAGAGCCAGTATGAGGTAGAAAATCTGAGCTGATTTATCATGCCCTGAGTCCACCTACTTTCACTTCTTTCTGGTGAAGCTCTGACCACACACATGCACTTTTACTGCTTCAAAGCATCCATCTCGTACTTTTAGTACACATCAAAACCGTTCTTGTAAATCAATCTAAAACACCAGCACTGGTAAATGCTATGTCATTGCTCGAATTACATCTACTGTACATACGGATGCATGCAGCCCACATACCGGGCAGTGAGTCCCGCCGGACTGTTTAGAGTGAAAACATTCACAGGGCTGACAGAGAAAGCTAGGGAAACATTTCTTTCAGCGCATGCAGAAAAATACGAGCCAGGCCCTGTTGTTATTGCACTGTCTTGGGGCGCCGCTTTGTTTGCTCTGACAACAGCAGGACCTTTAAATGGAGGCTCCCAGACCGAGGCAGAAGCCAGAGGCGCAGCACACCGCTGGAGGTGAGGAGCGAAGGTCCATTGGCCTCCAGAGTTTGTGTGTTTGGATACGCGTGTGTGTGCGTGTGTGTGTGTGTGTGTGCGAGCGCGTGGACGTGCAGGCATGCCATCATTGACCCCAATGATTACAGGGTCAGGGAGCATGACAGTGTGTGTACGCGTGTGTCTATATGTAGGGACTGCGTGTAACTGTTGGCATGTACATACATGAGCACAGTTTGTGTAATTGCAGATCAGATGGAGTTCATTGCTCCCAGTTCTTAAAGGAACAGGTCAACAAATTTGTACAGTTAAGTGCAAAGAAGAATGCATGCACTGAGCCTATTTGCTTAGAGGAAAATTCCTATAATAGTCCAGAGAGGAACGTACACATTACTTAAAACCTGGCGTCCGACAGAGACTCAACAGTTGTAGTTTATTTTAATATCCTTCTCTACAGTCATCTCCCTTGGCACCCCAAACAAACAAGCAATAAAAAAACTGAAGCTATATCTGTTCTCATTACTTTTGACTTTCAGGCAAAAGTAATACGAACAGATACATATGGATGCATGCAGCCCACATACCGGGCAATGAGTCCCGGTATGTGAAAGTCCATCTTTCAATTGTTTCAACACAAGGAAATACTGAACATGGGCCTGGAGAAGGATCGTCTTTCAACAATAAAGATAAAAAGTTATCTCATGCCAGGAAAAAAAATATATGTTTATAGAAACAGAGCATGCAGTGCAGATATAGGGGGTGTAAAACAAAAAGACCGATGGAGGAAGATGCAGAAAGAGAAAGGCCTTCATGCATGAGTGGTGGCTCAGGGACATTCCTGCAAAATGCAGGTTTAGACATGGTCTCAACAGACTATGGACGCCACACAACTGCCATATGATAACCTTTAAGTGCAATCCTATGACAAAGTCTTGTTGTACTCACCTGACGATAAAGTCAAACTCGGAGCCTGCGAGCATTAAGACACCCAGTAAAGTGGAGAAGGCGCCATCTAGAACTGGAGCAAACATGTGCTCTAGTGCCAGCACTGCCCGTTTGTGACGATCCCCAATAGCTGTAAGGAATGCCTAAAATAGAGATAAAGATACAGTTCAAATCTTTTTTGGGGGGAGGGGTAATAAATAATAATAATAATAATAATAATAATAATAATAATAATAATGACTGTAGAAAGACATTCCAATGCAGTAGGAAACATAACATGTTTTGAACAATCATCTCTCATTTAAAGGACCCCAGATTTGAAATAGTCAGTAATCAAACAATTAGTATTAGTGCTTTCATATCTCTTGTGAAAAGAACGACTCAAAACTACAGGTCAGAATTATGGACAAATGTACATAATTCCTCACCACAACTCTGTCAAAATAGGTTGACTCAGGCCTGGTGTCGACTTTGTCGCAAGTTTTGTCATGCCTCTATGTTAATGAATGTTGATTTTGGGACTTCGGATGAAGTATGTGGGAGGTTTTAGTCTTTGACTAAGATGCCTTTAGACAGGACAAGAGTTTATTTTAAAGGTAACACTGTTTCATATCTTGTCCCTGTTCAAATACATTTTAAATTATAAATAGACAGCAGATGTTGCGGCACAACCAGTTATGAGGTTTAGGAAGGAACTGCTTTTTTGCATCATGCCGTGTTAGTTTGGACAGCAAATTTCCCTAAAAACCTAAGTGTCACAAAAAGCAAAACGGAAGCATAGCAGAACTGGTGTTGAAAAGAGTATGCTTTCATTGGCCTACCAGAGCTACATGGACTGTAAACTCCACTCCAATGCCCACCGAAGCGATGAGAATGACCACAGGGACGGCGCTCAGCTTGATTGCCATCAGTCCCATGAAGCCAAAAAGCTCCACAGTCATGAGAGAGAGCACAAGCACCTGAGGATGAAAAAGAGCTTTCTGTCAGACAGGAATGTGGGTTTACTTAAAAAGAGACATTCAACATACGGTTCAGGGGGAAAAAAACAAGTTCTAATCTGGTCCAAAGTTTCAAAATACACCTCATATATGCTTAAGTTGCTTACAATAATACATCAATATTTCGAAAATAAAATGAAGAATGGTCAGCTGGATGGTCTGGAAACAGTTCAGTTCAGTTTTATACATATCCCAAGGGGAAACTAGTTTGCAGGAAGCATCAGAAATACAAGATAGCAGAACTATCACATTAATTATCTTATGCACAAACTGAGAGAAATAACTTATGCCCTAGTGCATTAAAGTGCAACGTGCTCCCAAACAGCGTTACAATGCAATTTTCCTAAGCAACTTAGCTCTAAATTTGTTTATTTTGTATTTTTTATGACAAAAGCAACATGGGCACAGTTATAATACTGAAAAGGTAAGAGGAAATTTTACTCAACTTACTAAGTCATAAAACTAAATGTACAGTGCATCAGTACTTCAGACACGAGCTGTGTGATTTTACAAACATTTCATGTTGGAGTTCAGTAAATGAACACACTCGAATGTACACATTGCTGAGAACGTCTACATTTAAGGCTTGCTATGAATTTATCACAGATGTCTTTGCAATGGAAGGTTGGATTGGTGGTTGGAGAACACATGGAGAAAATCAAACATCCACACCCACCCAAATCAGGTCTTCTGGGTGGATGACCTTGAGATTTACAGTTGATCTAAACTCTGACTGTGCTCAGCAGGCAGCAAGACATCAGAATGTGAGCAAAATGTGTGTGACTCTGTGTGGAGAGTGGATTTTCCCGGGCAAAGCAGGACAGGACGGGAGCTGAGAGTAAATACCATTATCAGCTGACAGGTGTCAGGTTACGTGAGACCTAAATCCTTTGAAGAGGCCCAGTGTGGGCAGGGGATGGAGCTCTGCGCACCAGTGTCCACTAGAGGTAATTTTTGTGGCCGTGCCATGGTCTAAGATGCATTTCCATGAAGGAAATCTGCTAACAAGTGGACAAAAATACTAAGAAAACATTACCTCAAGATGAAATTCAGGTCTCATTTTGAATCTTAAGAATGATCAGATTTATGCCATTTGTTATATAAACTAAAACAATGGTATCAAAGGCTTGGATTCTTTGTCTAAATGCCTGGGGAAATGCAAAATGACAAAATGGAAATACAGAACGCAAATCATATTTGATGATTACTATAACGGCAACATTAAGTCGATCGAATATAATCTGTATATGGAGACAATGCAATGTGAAGCAACTAGCTATAAGCTTGTAGAGCCAGTTGTTTGTTTCTTGACGCCTCTCTGTAACGAACCTTTTGATGTTGCTAGTAAAGCCTGACAGATGACCATGAACTCCCCTCCTACCTCGTTTTAATGCCTCAGGTGGCCTAGCAACTGCCTGTTATAAAGTACAACGCAGCAGAGAGGAGAATAACCAGAGTGATCCGTATGTGTGTTTCTCTGTGAATCAAGTACCTGGACGTTTATACATTGTACATTGTATAAATGCACCCTATTTGCTTGCCTGTGTCCATGGAAACTTCATGGGTGAGACAATTAGTAAAAGACAAGAGCGGAGGATGGAAAAAAACAGGACAAAGACTGCTTTTTATGAGGGTCAGAGTGGAAACTAGCTGCTGGAGAAACTTAGAGTTCTGTCAACATTTATTTCAGCATTGATGTCTGGGAGTGTCAGACTAGACTAAACACAGTGGCCCAACAAAACAGCACAAGATAAACACTGGTGAGGGGCCTGTGATATCGCACAGCATCCCTTCTTTTTGAAACTTTGTTATCATCATACTCTCAAAGCAGTTTTATTTTCAAAATGTTTTTTTTTTTTCACTTATTGAAAAAAAAATGGATTCATTCATTACTGTGCACCGGGAAATTGAAAGATTTTCAGCTTAACTGATTCTTTCTGACTGGCCATTGTCTAAGTGATGACAAGCTGTTGCAACACCAATAATGGTCTTCGGTGTGGAAGTTATTAGTCAGAGAACAGGACTCAAAGGGTCCAAATCTCACAGTCTGTTAGGTGTGAAAAAATGAAGTCAGAGAAAGCACAGCAATGAAAGAGGCTATTAAAAAAGGAAATAGAATTTTCTGCATGTTAAGACAATTTGCAACTCATTTAGACAATGTTGTTTTAGCAAAACTGCCTGCACTAGTTGCAATAAGTGCCAATATAAAATGCTAAACAGATTTTAAAAGATAACAAAAGCACTTTTTTTAGTCAATACTTGCTTTATTTTTTTAATTTTTTTTTTAATTTTTATTAACACTTACTATGATGCCAGCGGTCCATGGGTTGAGCAGAAACAGGGCACAGACTAGAAAGGTGCAGGCAAGCACAACACTGATGGAAAGGAGAAGCCAGTGCCGCAGACTGACGTACTGCTCCCAGAAGAGGAAAGGGTAGCCATTGGGGTAGGAGGGCAGGTCTTGTCGGCTGTAGTTGTTGCAGATTGCTCGCACGCTCTCGATGGCCTCCACAAACTGCGGGGTCTCTCGGAGCCCGTTGAGGTAGAAGGGGAACTGTGCGTATTCGATGGGCTCGGCAGCGGGAACTGAACGGAGAAGAAGTGAGAGGAAGATTCATTTACTTGCACCGATCTTGGTTTTAATTTGGTGATAACAACATGGATACATTTTAACTGAGGAACCGAGTGCTGCTGGATAGTAAGGGGGAAATATCAGCTAAAACAACAGTGAAGAATAACCTTTGCAGATAATACAAATATGTCCTGTTTAGGCTCTGGTAACTATTTAATAAATCCACAGTGATAATTTAAGACAGTTCATCTATACCACGTCGTGGTCTAGCTATTCTAAATTCAACTTCATTCAAGGAGTAGTTACATCTGTGGGTGAGTGTGTTTGTGCTTATGTGGAGGTGGGGTGTAGAGGTGCGTTAAACAGAGCTCCATTGACTCGAACCTGGCCAGACTGAAGCCAAGTCTGCCTAATGAGGGCCTATCAGTTCCAGACACAGCAGACTGTCAGAACTAAGGTTGATTCACAGCAATTACAATGTCAGGATCATTGCCATTACCACACCCTAAACACAGCACCACCACATAAAGAATAATATAAATGCACAAACACGTATAGCTGCCTGTCACTCGGCAATGAAGTAATACTTGCTGAAAAACAGTTTTTAATTCAGATTCATGCTGTCATGTCTTTGCTGCACATGGCAGTTTTAAAGGATTTATTTAAAGGAATACTCAGCAGCTGCATGTCTATATACAGTGCCTTTTAATAGTATTGATACATCCGTTCTACATTTTCACATTTTGTCATGTTATAACTACAAAACTACATTTTTGTTTAAACTGTAAAATGGAAGGAAAACAATAAACTGGTTTTCCATTTCTTCAGGGGAAGTTTTTTCAAAAACACACATACATCATCCCTGAGGTGGCACAAATTATTGGCAGCATCAAGGAGTGGGAACAAGATTAGGATGGTCAGAGTTGATGAGAAGAAGGGTGAAGCTAAATACATAGTAATTCTGGATGAAAACCTGAGCAGAAGTCACATGTTCCAGAAGTAAAACACTAAACATATAGCCAGAGCTACAACGGCATGGTTTAGACCGTGGAATAGCCCAGTCAAAGTCCAAAACTAAACCCAACTGAGAGTCTGGGTCAAATCCTGAAATTGTAATTGCAGCAAGAAATTCAAAACACTTAGCAGCGTAAATCTACACTGGTGGATCACACCGTAAAGAACCTAACCCAATAACATTATCGCAGTCCCAAACTTCCTACAACTTCTCCAGTCATTCATCCCATCCAAACTCAGGTTCTCCTAAACTCAAACAAGAGCAGACTGTAGTTTTATGTGATTTGCAGTCTGTTTGTGGTAAAGAAATGAGAGCAGGTTGTGTGGCATGATGAGGGTCACTGAGTTTTAATAAAGTGTGTGTGAGTGTGCTCGCAAGAGCCCCAGGGTAGCCAGGATTATACCACTGAACCACAGGCACAACACTAAGTTGTGTCCCAGCTCTCAGCTTTGCAACCTGAGCTCATGCAAGTGCACACTCTGCTCTGGTCCAGCAAAGTCTATTACCTCATTTTGAGCTTAGAGACAGACACAAAGCAATAAGTCAGACCACAAGAGGTAAACACAACTCGGAGCGTGGTGGCCTCAGCACGGTACCAGCAAACGCTAGTGTTGAGACACCGCTACACTGCACCGCAAGGCCGTCCTGTGTGTTGACTTACTGCTGAGACGTGTCTCGGGCATGGAGTCAGTCCGGTCGTTGAGCCACTCAGGAGGGTGCGGACGGATGTTGGCTTGTGAGGCGGCATAAGCGACGGGATCGTTGCTGACCCAGGCGGTTAGGTAGATGTAAAAAGCCCCAGGATTGATGATCCCATCTGCATCCACGAGTCTCTGTCGAGTCAGCTACAAAACCCACAGAAAGGGATGGATTAATGACAGCAACCATTGCTAATACACACTTAACAGTATGGTCTGCTGAAAGGCCTTTCATTAAAACGTACATGCACTTGGACGTTATTTTCATTTACGTTGGGCTGAAAACTGTAGTCTGAACTGGAGTAATTAGCCTTTAGAAATAAGAAAAAAAAAAAACAACAAAAAAAAACGATTTTAACATTTAGTAAAGATTGTGGTGCTGCAGCTGTTTTGCCACGATTCTGTGGAAATCAACCATGTTTTACCATAACATTCTACAGGTGAGCAGACCGCAGAAATGTTTCCTTTTACACATGGATGAGTGCAAGAGAACGAAACTCCATTCAAAAGCAGGAGGCAAATATTAGCCCCGCTCTCTCTCCATTTCCAACCAAAGAAAAATCAACAAGTCAAACACTGGTTACCTTCTCTGGAAATTCCTGTATTTCTGATCACAGCTTCCCAGAATTATCATGCCACATTAAAACATGGAAAATGTTGAATCAGCCTCTCCCTTCATATACAGCAGATACTGGCTGGTCTACCTCAGGCCATATGTCCTGACCACTCTGAATAAACGTCTAAAAGTAACTTTGGAGCACTCTCATACCAAGAGCTTCGGGCTGCTAAGGAAGAATTAACACTGAGTCTTTATAGACATAAAATGTGGAAGGACTTTTGTAGTTATTGGTGAAAAGAAAATTAGGTGTCAATTTTACTGCAAAACAGTTTTACACGACTTGTCACGGTTATTCCTTCAAACACCGCTCATATTTTATGTCTCTGTCTTGAGTGTTTCTGTCTAAACTGATAAATGTATTTAAGAAAATAATGGCTGTCATGTATACAAGCCCCCAACATATGTAAGTGAGTAAGTAAAAACTTTACTTATATAGCACCTTTCGAGATTTAATGATCACAAAGTGTTTTACAAGACTTGTTAAACAAAAGCAGATTCAAAAAGATAGGTTTTTAAATGGCTTTTAAAGAAAGCCACAGAATCTGCTCCTTTCCTTGGGCGCTTAACTCAGCGCCCAAGGAAAGGAGTTCCAGAGTATTGGAGCCACTGACAAAAAGGCTCCGTCTCCCTTTATTTTCAGTTTAGTACTATTAGCATGCACCGATTTCAGGGGACTGAGGATGTACGGGTGCAGCAGTGCTCTACGATAACCTGGTGTCTGCCCGTGAAGAGCTCTCCATGATAAAACAAGAATCTTGAAATGTGCTCTAAAGTAAACTGGGAGCCAGTGCAGTTGCATTAGCAGAAACATAAAATCTGAGGATTTGGATGATGTGTGGACGTTAGAATAAAATACTGCTGGCTCCAAGAAGTTGTAGCTTGGACTGCCTGGGCCACATTTGAAACATCTACTTCTTTTTTTTTAAAATCAGCATAACTTGGTACTAACAGTCCTTATACAAAAGCTTTAAAAAGTGCTTTTAAAAAACAGCACATAAAATTTCTTCTTTGTATCTTTCAAATGCATTTATTTTTCTTGCTGTGCAAAACAATGAAACAAAGTTTATACTCTGAATAATTGCTATGTCTGCAGAACATCAGAATTGAACAAATAAAACTAATCCTTAAAATTCGTCATGCAAAATTGCGACTCTAAGCTTCTCTTAGGGGAGAGTCACACAGCCTGGCATTCATCCATTATGAACCAGAAGTACAAACTGTTTATTTAGTTTTTTTGTTGTTGTTTTCTTTTTGTGATGGCTTCAACTGTTATTTCATTTAGCTGTTTCCAGTACATGAATAACTCTGTCACTTAAGGTTGCTAATTTAGCCCTCATATGGGGAAGCAAAGGAGCGTGGCCTAGCATCGCTACCTCCTGAGAGGTAAAACCATTACTGTACAGTTCCGCCACTCTGCCTTCTAGGAACCATAAATCTATCTTTCACAGAGGCTGGGAGAGCTTTCAGGGGTCCAGTTGGACTCACCGGGTTACATATATGAAGAAAGGTTTTGGATTTTTTATTTTTTATTTTTTCTCCTCACATTTCGTGGCGGTGGTGGAGGGGGTTAGCGAGAGAAAAATTGCTTGAGTTAGCGTAACAATAAAAAAAATTGGCTGGAGTCCCTGGGCGCGTCTGTGTGCAGTTAACCTGGTTGTTAACACTGAAGGAAATGCCACCCAGCAAATGGAGTAGAGCTATAAAAATAACACAACATCTGTACAAATGTTGCTCACACTTGGTTCTCCTGACCCCTATGGGTATCCAGAATGCCTGGCGCCACAGATTCAATCGGCCCTAAAAAGAAAAGAGCTCTTGATAGTGTTAGCCCTGTCTTTTCTTCAGACTTTCAGTCTTTTCACCTCCTCCTTTGTCTGCGTGCTCTCCCCTCGTCTGGATTCACTCCGCGAAATGTCTCCTTTCTGTCACGTTGCTTTCAAACCAAGCACACCAGGACTGAATAATCACCAGGGAAAAAAAAGATAAAATGGAGGGCAGAGATAAAAAGTTCTTCTTGCAAAGGACTGTAAAGTGGCATATAAAAATGAAATAGTTGGTGAAGATCTGCTCTTCTGTTTTAGACACAGGGGAAAAAAACAAAACTACTGCAATACGATAACACAGAGCTGGCCCAGATAAACAAGTGTTTCATCCCGTCTCAAAGAAGGAGTACACTGGAAAGTAGCACAGAGGGCAGAGGTTTGTGAAGGTAATCCTGAGAGAGGGAGCCGGAGTGAAAGCTGAAATCCAGTGGATCTGGATTGAATTTAACAGCGGAATAGGCAACAATTGCATGTCTTCAAGCTGTCACGGGAAGTGCAGGCAACTCTGCCGGCGGCCCCTCGCAACTCAGAACAAGTACAATTCCCTCACAGGGAGAGGAAGTGATGTCACAAGGTTTCACACAAGAGCTGCATTTGCTTTCTGTGAGCTAGAAGAAGTAAATCCACCACAACCTAAACACTACAAGATCATTCTCAAAGCAACGCTCTTTAGAGTGGATGTTGTTACTGAACACGAGTAAGGAGTTTAGAAATAAAAGCAGAGGAACCACAAGAGTTCAAGAAGTGACTTCAAAGGAAACTATACTTTATACAACATGCTGAGAAAAGACAGCGGTTCGTTCAGGCTGTAAGAGAGCAAGAGAGAGCACGACTGTCAGCAGATAACAGGAAGATGCTCTCTTATTTATCCTTTTGGAGATATCCCGTGTCTTCTGTCATGGGATATGCTGGATGTGGAAATATTTGCACTCTGTTGGAAAGTCCTGAGTTTAGGTAAGGGTACCGACGTCACTATTTCTCTATAGGCAATGCACATGGGAGACAGCTGCTTTACAGTTAGCAAAAATAGTCACTAATATGCAATGAAACATTTTGAACACTTGCACTTACAGTACTACTCTCTTCAGTCCCACTGCCTGTCAGAAAGGATGTTCTGATTTATGTTGAGTCCAGTTAATAGTATTAACTATTAAATGCACAATAGTGATTTTAACAATAAAAAGTCATTATTGTTAAAATTTTTCTCCAAAATTCAAAGATGCGAAAGTTACCACAGAATTCTGATTGCTGTATTTTTACACAGGACGCTGCAGTGTTTATTAGACTCGACAAAAATGAGCTCAGTGTTGAAAAGAAAATGGATTGTTTTGTGTCTGAGGTTCGCAGGAGTCCTGGCCAAGAATTTTGTTTTTATATTTCTTCAGGTTCTTATCTCTGTTTTCACTCTTCTTGCCAAAGAACGCAGCAATGAATCTACATCTCCTTTGTTTTCATAAAGTGGTTAAAAAAACACACTTTAAATTAAAAACACATACAATCCTCCGTTGTCTTGTTAAAGCTGCGCAAATTTCCTCAGCTCCAAAAACTTCAATCTTTCCCCTTATTTCATTCCCCCCCCCCCCCCACCACCCACACACACACACACA